CCCATGGGTAGGATGCAAAGAAAGACCGCATGCCGTCCCAATCCGCCGACCTGTAATGCCAAACACGGCGGCAACCTGCAGAACGCAACCGCGAAGGGAGCGTGAGTGGCACCACACTCCGGATCAGACAATGGTCCGAAGAGCCGAGAGGGGCATCGACGGAAACCTGATATCCGTCCGGATGAGAGGTCAGCAGAAGGTCCAACAGGGAAGGTGTATGATCCTCCACATCTGGAATCCGCGTAGGCGAAGTAACCAGTTGTGTCAGACCATATGCCAAGGCAAAGTCACAAAACAGATCTCCCCGCATGATCGGTTAGACGTGAACCGAGCCATTCGGCATGGTGGGCGTTAAAATCGCCAAGGATCACGATCTCTGCGGATGGGACCTGTTGTAGCAAGGAATCTGTAGCCATTTGGACGTGGTCGATGAGTCGGTCTGTTTCGGCATTACTGCTATGGGACCTATAGAGGCACGCGTAGCCAAAGGATGGACAGGTCCGAACCTTCAAGACTGCCGAGGCGTCGAGAACAGATGTCCTCTCTGACATACACGCAAACTCCAGCCCGAGGCACAAAGGAATGCTCCAATTTGTACCCCGGGCAGGAGAGATACGAAATATCAGCCGGAGAGGAAACCTGCGTCTCGGTCAGAAAGAGCAAGGCCGGCTTCGCCGTCTCGAGATGGTAGTGGACGGCGTTTAGGTTAGAGTGAAGTCCCCTGATGTTGCAGAAATTCACGGATAGCGTGGCAGTGGTCGCCTTGGTGTTCTTGCTCAGTTTGCCCCTAGCAGTTATGCTTTTGAGCGGAATTTTGCCCCCCCCCCAGAATACGCGGGGCAGCCTGAGCACCCACGCTCAGGATCGGAATAACATGGTCGTGGATGCTCAGCGAGGGATTCTCCAGGGGTACTGGTACCCTCCTGGGATAGTTCATCGTGTAATTCCGCTACCATGTTGATGGGGGGCGGGGGATTGGGCCTCCGGCCACCTGCACTCACCAGACGAAACGCAGAAGCAGAGCTTCTACTTCACGCCGGTATTCTGTGAGGTCGTGGTACCATCCCGGCTCGAGCTGGCCCATACATGAAACAGCAAAAACTGCTGCGTGGCTCTACCACCTCCAGACTTAAATATTGCAGCGTTATATGGCTGCATCACGAAAGGATCGGCTCGACCGGTTAGGACTACCCCCGCACAAAATACCAGCATAAAGTAAGTTCATAATTCTATGTGTATAATAGTATGAGGGACGTCGTAGCTCAAGGGCAGCGCTCGCTGTCAGTACGTGAGCGATCCGGGTCCGTCCGTCCGCGTCGGCTCATTTAGGGTAGGGCCACGCTCTCACAGAATACCAGCGTAAAATAACCTGGGAACCGGATACCCTTTTTCATCAATGTGACAATGCATCTGCATTCTCATTATTAAATAAGGTTAAGTGTAGATGTCTATAGGCCACAGCGTCTACTCACCCTTAGGTGGACTGTGTACTTGTTTATCACCCTTATTCTATAAAAAAAGAGCAACCCAGGTTTAATACTCTCCAGCACCAATGGAATGGTTAAGAGTCGTGGTAGCTCTTGCAGTTAAGCGCTCGCTGTCAGTAGGCGAGCAACTTGGAATCCAACTTTGCCGGCACCAATGAAATTATTATTTGAATTTTTAAGTGTTGATTTACCATGTGCTCGACGGCGAAGCAAACTGCATGTATGAAAAATAAAAAATAAATATTTTTGAAGACACGTGAATTTCGCTTACAGTCATTGAAGCAGCCCGTCGGAAATTTCCTTTACCTTGCCCTCCCCTCTGGTCATTTCTTAGGGTTCCGTACCTCAAAAGGAAAAAACGGAACCCTTATAGGATCACTTTATTGTCCGTCTGTCTGTCTGTCAAGACCCTTTTTTTCAGGAACGCGTGGAGGTATCAAGCTGAAATTCATATCAAATACTCAAATCTACTGTCACTTGGAGCTGTGAAAAAAATGAAACTTCTAAGCCAACGCAATCAAAAGATACAGCTATTTATGCCTCAAATTTTCGACATTCGCAAGGGAATCAAAACCTACAGGATACTTCCCGTGAACTCAGAATCTTAAAACTTGGTACGAAGCAACGTATGGAAACATTGCGAAAAACATAAATTTTTATTTAGATCATATTATAAAAATATTTTTAATAATTTTAATTTTATATACCTACGGATTTGTTCGGAACCCTCGGTGCGTGAGTCCGACTCGCAGTTGGCCGGTTTCTTTACTATTACAAGCAGTGCTTGATCACTATCCCACCAGATGGTGAGCTGTGTTGTACTTGCCTGCCTGTGATTGCTATGGTGTGACAACAAAATCATTTTGCTTTGATTGTTTTATGGTCAAAATGACAAAGTCACATCTCGTAATTTTTGATTTTCGAATATTTCGACGAACGGTAGATTAACCAAATAATACAAATGTGATAATATTTCTGCTGATAATATAATTAATTTTTAGTTCAAAGAATAACAATAAGTTAATCTAATGTTATTTTATAAACACGTTTTAATATTTTAAAGTTAAAAGATTAAAACGATTAAAGATTTCTTAATTTTAGAATTGCAATTATGGAATCAGTTTAGTTTAAATAAAATGACTTCTTGAAGAAAAAATATTAATTAAACGTTATGGGTAATTATTGAAATATCGAGAATTAATAATGTTTTTTACGGTACCACCGTTACAAACCTGAACATTTATTATATTACAAACAACAAATTTCATTTAATATTCGAATTAATTTTTGTGCGCATTTAAAACTCCGCAGTAATGGAAAAGAGCATTAATAGTTTTGGCTTCTTCAAGTAATCCAGTCTTATCTAAACGTATAAAAAATAATTGCAGCATTAAATTGTAACCTGACTTTTGTCCACCAAATTGAGGTCAAAAAGAAAGCGCAATCTTATTTTAAGTTTGATTTGTATTTTTATATCCATTAAAGTAACGGCTTTCCAATACAATTTTTTTATACAAATATATTATATTTTGTACGATAATTAAATTATAAGATAAACAAACCAGGAGATGGACAGCAGCGTCTGATAACGACTAAAAATAAAAGTACGGGTAAGGTAGGTATACTAAGGCGCATTGTTGGAGCTGTGCCTGCGACAATGCGCCGTACCTTTTTCCTTCAGTACCTTTTTATGGCACAGACTAAATAAGTTTGAAACTGTGTGCTTCTTACGCGTGTTGCAAACAACCAACTCTCGGTGTCTCCTCTAGTCTATACCACTTCAGTGATTCCCAATTTCACCTCAAAGTGGACGGTTCGTTTGATAAAATTAAATGAAATTTATGAATAAAGACCCTTCTAAGGAAATCGTGTAGCGCTATTGAAGCAAACGGCGACCAGTCTCAACGAAGACTAGCCATCTACGCAGGATAGGATTATAGTACACGAGTATTTGCGCAAGTGCACTCTCATAGTCCGATGGGACCGTAATCCGGCACGACAAACGGCTTTACATGTTTTCCTAAGTTGAAACACCGCAAACTTCTTGACTCCGGGCTATTACTGAGAATTTCTTGACAGAAAAATCCAATAAACGATTTTTGGCTCAAACCGGGATTCTAACCCGGCATCACATGATCAGCAATTGCGTTTACGACCACTAGACCAACGTGGCTGTTGAGATTCAGCACATAATGTAGATAGAATCGGAAAGCTTACACGAAATTTTAAATATGGAAAACTTAGCGTGAGGAGGATAGTTTTGCTTTGGGTGCCACTCAACCCCACCGATTCTCAGAAGCTGACCCGTGTGGAATGTTTCCACTAACTAGAATTTAAAATTTTGTAGAAGTCTCAATTTGACGTGTTCACAACATTAGTTTTGGTGGCGAAACTTGCATTTATCAATAAGATCCAGACAATAAGTGCCATTCGACGGTTTGGTTATTTAAAAATTAACCAACGCCTACTAACGTGATTTCTAAGTATAGTAAAAGTAGTTAGTCGTGGTTAAGCGTTGGCTGTAAATTTTATAGTACGCGAGCAACCCGGGAAAGAAAGTTTCTTCTAAATAGCACAATAGTGGACCGCCAATCGTCCAGACGGTTCAGATGGTATTTCGAGTTCTGTCGCGATGTGCGATGGTGAAATTGAGCGGCTGGAATTAGTTCGAACAATTCTTCTGAGCACTCCCCGTGGTAGATATGAAAGAATACGCAAAGAGATGCAAAATATCCTTGCAACTCCACCAGTGAGTCAAACCGATCAGTAAGAGCTCGGTTGCAGACGATTCGAACCGCTCTGCGCTGAATGCGCTCAAATAGAAGAAGCTGGCACTAGGGTGCCCCGGTCCAGAGATCGAAACAACCCTTCACCTCCCATAGCCTCACCGACACTCAGATCATACGGGTCGAATCTCGGGAGATGCGCACGGCACTTACACGTGGATCTTTTCCCGCGCCCACTTTATTGACTCCCTACAAATATTTAATCTATTCCTTGTCCCAAATTTTACGTCATTTTCCCCCTTCTGGCGCTACGGCACTATAACACCTACGACATCGGGCCCTCCTACCAGTATTCTCTTCTACCCCATTCCACGATCGCGATACCCATGCGCAAAACTCGCACAGCAGCCCATAGTTCACCCCAGTGGCACAGCTGCTGCAATTTTGGGTCGACAATATAGACGCCAGCCCACGAATGAAAGCCCACCTGGACGATCCCCGCAACCTGGGAGTACTGTTCTTGTACAAGAACAATGTCCAGGTGCAGTTCACGCGCCATGATAGGCAACTCAGCCGTTTTTTTCCGACACTTGGCGAGGTTTTCCCGAGAAATATTTGCACGGCCGGTGTATAAAGCATCACCAGTGCTGTCGTCCCCATAGCAATGAATGTTACCGGCTTGCAACATATCATTGACATGCAGAAGAAACAGGGCTGGTAATAGTACGGAGTCTTGTGGAATACCATCGTTAATAAGCTTGTAATCGGAGCGTGCACCGTCTACTACAATCTTGATGTTCCAATATGCCAGAAAACTGGTGATCCAAATGCACAATTTCTCGGGAAGCTCATAGGGAGGAAGCTCCGAAAGTAGCGCTTTGTGCCAAACCCGATCGAAGGCCTTTGCTATGTCCAAACTAACCGCCAAAGCCCCCCTCCCCCCTTAGGACTCGATATCCTGCGCCCATCTGTGTGTTAGGGAAACAAGAAGATCAGCAGCTGAGCGAACCCTACGAAAACCGTACTGGCGGTCACTAATCAGCTGGTGCTCCTCAAGGTACCGCATGAGCTGGCAGTTAATTATGGACTCCATTATTTTCGAGAACAAGAGAATAGTGTTACATAACAAGGAACAATTCACTGTCTGGTTTTTTTTTCGGAAATATTTTCCTCCTGATGGTAAGAGATGTTTCACATACATAAATTGAACATAAATAACATTCAGACTAGGATTGATTATTTGTAACTCATAAAACACTTGTTTCGTGGGGAATTCAAACACTCGGCCCTGCAGCATCCCAACCAAACGTTTACCCACTGCGATGCCGAGTTGCCGTGTAGTTTATACGCAAGCACAGGTGAACTCTCTATTCCCTCATTATCATAGTTGTTAGGACGGTAAACCGACAAGAGAGAGAAATCAGCCGCAAGACCGACTTCCCATGCTTTCTGAGACACGGGAGTGAAACTACCAACTTCCTGACTCCTGGCAGTTACTGAGAATTTCTTGACGGAAAAACTATTTTTTTTTTTGGCCCGACCCGGGATCCGAACACGCGGGACCTCATGTTCTACAGTCACACTTACAACCTCTAGACAAACGAGGCAGTCACTTAGAGGTACACATGAATAATATCCATATTCTCCACAATTGTAATACATTGTATTAATTTAAGCAGGTAAACAAGCTTTTCATTATAAATTTTTCTGTGAAAATTTATAAATTGCATTAATCCCGCAAAATTATTTCCCGCAAAAAGTTATTGATAGAAAATTTATTTTAAGATGTAAAAACCGCTGAACGAGACATTGAATGAACGTTTTTTATTCATTTCTTTTGTTATTTATATACACGTTTCATTTTCCCAGAAACTCCATTTTCTTTAGATTTGAGAGCTTAATAAGCTTTTCTTTAAGACTTTAATGTTTCATTGTTGAATGGCACTCTTGAAAAGCCACAGACGGCAATTGCTTTTAAAAATCATTACTAAATTGTTACAAAATATTGTAAATTAAATTTTATAATTTAAATTTATGACTTTGGAATCGTCAATAATTACTAATTGATAGGACTTCTGTTCTGCCGAGGCGTCCATCTGTGTAGGTGCAACCCTCCTAACAATTCTTCCCATCAAATAGCAGTGCTTGCATTACTATGATTCGGTTAAAGGGTATAGAGAGTCAGAGCCAGGGTAATTACATGCTATTAGGCATTTTATCTTCGTCCTCAGAGGTGATAACTCATCTGTAGCCTGCTTTGTTGTTGTAGCGGGGTGGCTTTGTAAGCGTGACTTGGTCACCCGCAATGAACAAACATGAGCCCACTTAGCTGACCTGAGGTGTAGGGCCGGCTCAAGGTGGCCGCTCCGAGTGGACTTGCCTAGCCTACTCTGGATGCGCGTTAGTAGACTAAGTCGGGAGGGGTGTCCTCTCCGCATTCCCACTCGCCCAATCCTCCGTGACTCAGGTAAGGCCGCACCAATGATGTGGTGGTGGTGGGGCTTAGGGGGAAAGGGTGACGGTAATATGAGGCACCGCTCTCTCTACCCTGTGCAGCCTAATATTGGTTGGCGGAGGAGCCATACAGAAACAGAAACAGAGACTATTTTATTCAACATAGATTATAAATAATACTTATTGACTGTCACTCTTTTGTTTAATCACCAATGGTTCAAAAAAAAACCTCTGTCATGGGAAGAACCAGTAGGAAACCCAGAGGGGTTTTTTTTAAATAACTGCTTACAATCATGTATGTTACACAATTAACAACACAATAAATTAGAAATAGCTTGGTAGCGATCAGCTCATTCCCCGGGGTTATTATCATCCATGAATTGCTTAATATTATAATAACTCTTTTATACAAACTTAGTTTAATAAAGTTTTTGAACTTTGAGCAGGTCAAATTTTGTATATTATGAAATTTTGTAGTAAAAGCGTGTACATCGCCCCAAGAATGAATTATAGACTCGATGGAGTCGAGTAACTGGTACTACTAGCTTATGTCTGTTCCAAGTATTTACATTATATATATATATATATATATATATATATATATATATATATTTACATTATATATATATATATATATATATATATATATATATATTTTTTTTTTTATTATCGCAGTGCAGTGGCGGTTACGAATAGTCACTACCCCATATCTTCCCGTAGGTGTCGTAAAAGGCGACAATGGGAAACAGGCAGGAGATGGGCAGCAGTTTCTTCCTGATAACAACAAAATTACAATGAAAAAACTGCGGTTGCCAACCCGCTCGCCAAGCGTGGCAACTATGGCAAATACCCCCCTATGATGAGAGTAACAAAGAAACGGCCCACAGTCCCTGGCGGCCCCGCTATTCCTGGCTACGGTGGCGACTATGGTAACGGTGGGGCCTGGAGTGCTAAGAATCTCGGGTGGAGGTTCGGTTGCCACCTAAGATGACTCGACCTGGCAACATACAACGCACGCACCCTGAGGACTGACGAGAAGATCGTGGAGCTGGAAGGAGAGATAGACAAGCTACGCTGGCATATTATAGGATTATCCGAAGTCCGAAGAGAAGGGGAGGACACGGTAATCCTCGAATCCGGCAACTTGTTCTATCACCGGGAAAGCGACCATCTATCCCAAGGAGGTGTTGGATTTATCGTCCACAAGTCTCTCGTTAACAATGTTGTAAAGCTTGGGAGTGTGTAGACGAGTGTTGCGTACCTAATACTCAGAATCACCTAACGGTATTCGCTGAAGGTCAAAAAGGTTTACGCACCAACCTCGGCACACCCCGATGAGGAATTGGAGGAAATGTATGAGGATATGTCTAGAGCCATGCATTCCTCCAAAACCCAATATACGATGTTAATAGGAGACTTCAATGCAAAACTAGGCACAAGAGAGAATGGTGAGCTGAAAGTAGGGAAATTTGGAATAGGGCAATGGTACCCAAGGAGCCAACAGCTGACCGACTTCATGGAGAAAGAGGGACACTTTATGGTGAACTCTTTTTTCCAGATTCGGCTCCACAGGAAGTGGACCTGGTGGAGCCCCGACGGTTCCACAAAAAATGAGATTGACTTCATTATAACGACCAGACGACAACTGTTCAGTGCGAGGGTGACAACTGGTAGCGATCACCGAATGGTTAGAGGCACACAAAAACCTAATCGTTAAGTTGGATAGGTCTCGTCGTATGAAGTCAGCGCTCCATCCCCCTCGTGCTCTGTTCCAAAGTCCCGAAACCCTTCAGCTCGTTTTAAAAAATCGTTTTCAGTACCTAGAAGACTGCAATGAAGTGGACGATATGAATGACGGTCGGAGCTAAGTTCTGCAAGACCCACCGCAGAAGAACACAAAAACTCTCCGATCACACTCTCAACCTCATGGCTGTTAGACGGGAGATGAAGCTACATTCTTCAACAGATTTGACAGCATACAGGCAACAGAACAGACAGATCTCCAAATGTATGCGGCGGGACTTCAATACAGCTTGTATTGAAGAAGCGATCGAGCGGAACCAAGGCTCCAAAGTCTTTGCCAGAGATCTGTCTGCCAGAAAGAGCCAACTGTCAAAGCTGAAGACCGAGTGTGGCAGCATTGTTTCCGCGACACCTCAGGTTTTAAGTGAGATTGAGAGGTTCTATGGGCAGCTGTACACGTCTTCGTTAGAGCCACACGCAAGTGTGAGTAACGATCCAAGAGGGAGTCTTATCCGACACTATTCCGAAGATATTCCGGACGTCAGTCTGAGCGAGATTAGAATGGCTATCCAGCACCTTAAAAACGGCCAGGCCCCAGGAGAGGATGGAATTACAACGGAGCTTCTGAAAGCCGGTGGAATACCGGTACTTGAAGTCCTTCAGAAGCTCTTTAATTTCGTCCTCCATGGTGGCGTTTCAACGGAGGTGTGGAGCAGAAGTGCGGTCGTCTTGTTCTTCAATAAAGGCGACAACGCTCTCTTGAAGAACTACAGACCGATTTCCCTTTTGAGCCGCGTCAACGTGCTATTTTCAAGAGTCATTACGAATCGTCTGGCGCGCAGACTTGACGATTTCCAGCCTCCTGAATAAACCAGTTTCCGAAAGGGCTTTAGCACCATAGACCACATACATACCCTTCGACAAATTGTACAGAAGTCCGAGGAGTACAATTTGCCACTATGTCTGGCGTATGTGGACTATGAGAAAGCCTTTGATTCCGTTGAAATTTGGGCAGTGCTGCAGTCCCTTCAGCGGTGCCAAGTTGACTGTCGGTATATCGAAGTGTTGAAGTGTTTGTACAGTAGAGCTACGATGGCTATCCGAGTACAGAACCAAAGTACGAAACCTATGCAATTGCAGAGAGGTATAAGACAGGGTGATGTTATATCCCCGAAACTCTTCACCGCTGCATTGGAAGACGTTTTCAAGTTTCTGGACTGGAAAGGATACGATATTAACATCAATGGCGAGTACATCACTCACCTACGATTTGCCGACGATATAGTCCTTATGGCAGAATCGCTGGAGGACCTAAGCACCATGCTAAATAACCTCAATAGTGTCTCCCAACGAATAGGTCTTAGTATGAACATGGACAAAACAAAGATCATGTTTAATGTCCATGTCACACCTATTGCGGTGGTTGTTGGGAGCACTAAGCTCAAAGTTGTTGACGAGTATGTTTACCTGGGACAAATAGTCCTACTAGGTGAATCCAACTTCGACCGAGAGGTCAATCGACGGATTTAACTCGGCTGGTCAGCGTTCAAAAAATTACGACACATCTTCTCGTCAGACATACCACAAAACCTTAAAACGAAATTGTACAACCAGTGCGTGTTGCCAGTGA